GACTGGTCTTGAGCTTCTAGGCTCAAGAAATCCACCAACTCAGCCTCCAAAAGTGCTGAGATTACAGGCCTGAGCTACCTCACCGAGCCCCAGATCCTCTCTTGACCCTTCTCTACTCATTCTGTACCACAGGAGGGTGAATGGAATGGCCTGCTTCTAACTGTGACTGATTTCTGATTCATTTCAGCTAATGAAATCAGGAGTTTAAAAGTAGAAAGGCAAGTGATGTTGAGATATTTATTTCTCATCGCTTCCTCCTTGCAGGTCATATGGCTTGGATGTTAATAGCACCCACAACACAGCTATTCTTACCAGGAACTAAACACTGGGTCCTCCTTTGCTGCTTCACAGAAGCTCTTCTCTTGAAAACCTCTGGTTATTTCTCTATCTCTTGTTCATAATAGATTACTTAGAAAACTACAGTACTTACTATGGCAGTAACTTTGTACTACCTATTCTGGGCTGTTGATGCTCTATATCTATGTAGTCTTAGAGGCTATTACTTAAGCAATTTCTTCTCAAATAATGCACAATTAAGAAGACTTACCTAAATTCTCATAAAATCGCCATGAATAGACTTAAGATAATTTTGAACCACTAAAAGCAGTAACAGGCAATCAAATTATAGAACCAGAGATAATTAATAGTTAACTATGGTACAGATTTATTCTAGATATACAGATGGTTGTAGATCTATCTTTATCTTTCTACCAAAACCAAGATACCTAGGTAACTCCTGAAATGTGTACTTCATAATATAAAATAAAAACCACCTAAAATGCAAAATAAACTAATATTATCCACCATTAACCCTGTGATTCAAATCTTTAGGTCCTAAACAAATTTAAAACTGGATTGCCCACCAACTTTTGTGAAAAGTAGCTTTATAAAGTGGAGTACTATTTGCTTCATTCTAGTTGCCTTAAAAACTGGTAGCAACTTACTTTTCTGTCCATTTTAAGCACCACAATTACAAGGCAAAAGCAACTTAGCAATTTGCTTTAAACAACTTTTGTTCTTAGAAGACTGGGAAAATAACTAAAATACCATATTTTTTTAAATACGAATAACTTGTTTATCATCAAAACTTGCTTCAAGACTCACCTTGCCATATCCACTAGGTTACAACTAATGTCTTGTAAACTTCTTAATGTTAACCAGCTTTACACCTTGCAAAATCCACCTTAAAATCTTTCACTCCAGTCTTTAAGCCCCCTTAAATGTACATCCCTGACCTTACTCCTCTCTGGCATGACTAAAATCAGTCAATGTAGTGTTCTCTCTCACTGCAGTAGGCCTAATAAACTTAGTTTTGTGTGATCAATATTTTTTTCTGGTAAATTTTTGTGTGCGTTTTTGGGTCAACATTTGACAGCCTTCTCTGTACCCTAAGCTCTGCTAGCATCTTACTCCACCAAGATGGAGAATGTAAATCCCTGAATAAAAGTGCACGAGAAGTAAGGACTTTGAGGAGTTGGATCAATACATTCTGTGGTTTTAGATTTTTGTGAGTGGGTCAAGTATAGTAGGGAGTGTCGATTAGAAAAAGGACCAGTGTGGCAGTTTACATGTGTTTGAAAGTACAGGTTTTCATGTATTAACATTGTGTCAGAGCATCAAACCAACAAGAGCTCAAGGATAGGATAAAAATGCAACTGTAGTATATTTTACTAGTAAAGGAGAATTAGACTAAGATATGTGTACCTCAACCTGACTTCAAAGTGTAGGTCTAAAAAAGATACCAACCTACCCACTGAGTGTTGTATAAACAGAGCAATCTGCAATTCTCTCACACTTTTCTGACAAATACCTATTGAGCTTAGATGGACATTAGTTAAAAATAGAGAGAGGAGAAAAATCCAACCCTGAATTTTTAAAAATGATGTTATTTTCAGAAAAGATCAGCATATCAACACTGAAATCACCCAGGAAGTTTAAAAAATATAACAAACCCTGTGGTTTATATTATAATTTCATTAATCTGGTTTAGGTCCTACTTGCAATATGCAGCTAGGTTGGAGAACTCCAGAGCTGGAACAGAGGCCAGCAAACTACAGTTTGTTGGGCCAAATCTATCCTATCACCTCTTTTTGCACAGCTCATCAGCAAATAATATTTAAAAAAACTATAATGTATTGAATAAAACTTTAAAGACTATTTCAGGGACACACAAATATTATAAGAAATTCAAAGTTTAGCATCAGTAGAGGTTTTTGAGGATATAACCACTTTCATTTGTTTACCTATTGTTACAGCAGAGTTGAATAGTTGTGACAGAGACTGTATGGTCTGTGAAGCATAAAATGTATAAGCTAGACCTTAACAGAAAATGTTTGCAGATCTAGAAGATTCAGAGGAAATGCATATTTCTAGGGAAGATCTACTGCATAATTGAGAATAAAATTCTGGGAAACTCATTGACGTATTAACAGTATTACTTAACTGTTATAAATTGATAACAAAATTATGTGGAGAAAGAATACTAATTCATTATCAAAAGGCACAAATGGGAAATAAAAATAAAGTGGAATCCAATAAGAAAGGCAGGTAAGTAAAATGTAATAGCAAACTTTTACATATTTCTATCCAAGCTTGTACATTGGCAAATCAAAATTTTACTTTTCTTCACTGTGGTTTCTGTTTCACAGCAGTGAAAGTATAGAATGAGAAAAGCAGCAAAGACACACACATCCGGCTGGCAAAAAAACAGGTATTTTCTGATAAACTTGCTTCTGTTTAAGGTTCCAACATTCTGGAAGCTGAATCCAATGCATTCACATTCCTTGGGTCACTTACCTTATCCAACCACACCAATTTGTATTTTGTGTGATCTGCATTAAAGTAATGTTATTAACTCTGTACATCATTGCAGTTCTAAGCCATCATTTCAGCAGTGAACATGAATGCATTAGGCTGTCTAGGACCAGTTTTCCCCAGCAACTCTATGTGTCCACAACAGAAACAATGGCAGTGATGAGCAGGTCATGCTACAGAGTAAATTAGATGTCTGTCCTCTTCACATTTAGAAATAGATGTTCTGATTTGGTAATAAGCCTGCAAGTACATGGACAATTTGAAGGTAGTGAGAAGCAAGAGACCTTAGAAAACAGTAGACTTGTTCTTATTATATAGAAATGTAACTTAAAGCAAATAATTTTTTTAAATGAAAAATATACAGCTATATTCATACATTACTTCAATTGATGATAATTTGTATATGCCATGCTAGGTTGTATCGTTTTTTTCTGTTTACTTTTCTTCTGCTGTTAAGAAAAAAGACTTAAATGAATATATAAAATATACATCTTTTGTAAATGTGTTTATGGATTGTTAAAATACAAACAGATTTTATCTATAAAAAGGTAAGTTTAATTGAGACAAAACTATATATTTGATTTGATTTAATTTGTAAGTTAAATTTTTTTTAAAGTTTAGGGTTAAATTATGGCTTTTTTTTTCTGGCTGACTTCATTAAATGCCAATGTTGTATTTGCTTGTCAGCGATAATAATGAAATGCATGGAAAGTGGAAAATTTATATTTTATAAATCACAATGACTGCCTGATTAGGAAACTATGAAGACTGAATTAATGTATTTCAGAAACCAATATTCTGTGGAATATTGCCATGGAAAAGAAAAGTATGATTGTCAGAGAAATATTGGTATGACATTTTGTATAAATTTAGGTGATCTTTCAAAGAAAGTCTTACGAAGACTTTTATTCTAACACTAATTACTACGCATAATTATCAAATTTTGTAAAGTTCCACATGAATATAGGCTAAAAAACCCTGACTCTACAGGGGGAGAAATCAATTTACCACTATAATATTTTTTCTTCTTCCTGTAATGAAGAAAAGCTTTTGTTGTTTTTTTCTTTTTATTTTAAGTGCAGGATCAAGTGCAGGTTTGTTATATAGGTAAAATTGTGTCATGAGGATTTGTTGTACAGACTCTCTTACCAGCCAGGTATTAAGCTTAGTACCCATCAGTTGTTTTACTGGATTGTTTCCCTCCTCCCACCCACCACCCTACAAAAGGCTGCACTGTGTGTTGTTCCTATTTATATGTTCTCACCATTTAGCTCCCACCTAAAGTAAGAACATGCAATATTTGGTTTTCTGTTCCTGTGTTAGTTTTCTGAGGATAGTGGCCTCCAGCTCCATCCATGTTCCTGCAAAGGACATGATCTTGTTCTTTTTTATGGCTGCATAGTATTCCATGGGGTATAGGTACCACATTTTCTTTGTCCAGTCTATAATTGATGTGCATTTAGGTGGATTCCATGTCTTTGCTGTTATGAATGGTGCTGCCATGAACAAGTATGTGCATGTGTCTTTATGCTAGAATGATTTCTGTTCCTTTGGATATATACCCAGTAATGGGATTGCTGGGTCCAGTGGTAGTTATGTCTTTAGATCTATGAGAATTCCTACACTACCTTCTACAATAGATGAGCTAATTTGCATTTCCTCCAACAGTGTACAAGTGTTCCTTTTTCTCCACAGCTTCACTAGCATCTGTTGCTTTTTGACTTTTTAATAAAAGCCATTCTGACTAGTGTGAAATGGTATCACATTATGGTTTTGATTTGCATTTCTCCAATGATGAGTGATGTGGTGCTTTCTTAAATATGTTTGTTGAACATGCATTTATCTTCTTTTAGAAACTGCCTGTGTCTCTTCCCCACTTTTTAATGGGGTTGTTTGTTTTTTCTTACAAATATGTTTAAGTGTCTTACAGATTCTGGATATTTGACCTTTGTTGGATGAATCGTTTGCAAAATTTTTCTTCCATTCTGTAGGTTTTCTGTTTTCTACATTGATAGTTTCTTTTGCTGTGCAGAAGCTCTTTAGTTTAATTAGATCTCATTTGTCAGTTTTTGCTTTTATTGCAATTTCTTTCAGAGTCTTCATTATGAAATCTTTGCCCATGCATATATCCTGAATGTTATTGCCTAGCTTGTCTTCCAGGGTTTTTATAGTTTTAGGTTTTACATTTATGTGTTTAACCCATCGAGAGTTGATTTTTGTATATGGTGTAAGGAAGGGGTGCAGTTTCAATCTTATGTATATGGCTAGCCAGTTATCCCATCACCATTCATTAAATAGGAAACTCTTTCCCAATTGCTTGCTTGTGTCAAATTTGTCAAAGATCAGACAGTGTGGGTGTGCAGTCTTATTGCTGGGCTCTCTATTCTTTCCATTGGTCTATGTGTCTGTTCTTGTACCAGTACCATGGAGTTTTGGTTCTATACAAATTTAAAAATAGTATGTTCTAGTTCTGTGAAGAATGTGAATGGTAGTTTAATGGAAATAGCATTGAATCTATAAATTGTTTTGGGTAGTATGGCCATTTTAATAATATTGATTCTTCCTATCTAGTACCGTGGATTTTTTTTTCCATATCTTTGTGTCATCTCTGATTTCTTTGAGCGCTGGTTTCTAATTCTCCTTGTAGAAATCTTTCATGTCTTTAGTTAGCTGAATTACAGGGTATCTTATTCTTTTTCACAGCAATTGTGAGTGGGAATTCATTCCTTATTTGGCTCTTGGCTTTACTATTATTGGTATATAGTAATGCTAATAATTTTTGCACATTGATTTTGTATGCTGAGAGTTGCTGAATTTATTTATCAGTTTAAGAAGCTTTTGGGCTGAAACTATGTGGTTTTCTACGTAGAGTATCGTGTCATCTGAAAACAGAGATAGTTTGACTTCTTTTTTTTCCGTTTGAATGCCCTGTATTTCTCCTATTGACTGATTGCCCTGGCCAGAACTTATAATACTATGTTGAATAGGAGTAGTGAGAGAGGGCATCTTTGTCTTGTGCCGGTCTTCAAGTGGAATGCTCCTACCTTTTTCCCATTCAGTGTAATGTTGGTTGTGGGTTTATCATAGGTGGCTCTTATTATTTTGAGGTAGGTTTCTTCAATACTTAGGTTATTGGGATTTTTTTAAATGAATAAATGTTGAGTTTTATAGAATGGCTTCTCTCTGATTGTTGAGAAAATCATGGTATTTTTGTCTTTAGTTCTTTTTATGTGCTAAACCATATTTAATGATTTGAGTCTGTTGAACCAACCTTGCCTCCGGGTAAAGCTTACTTGACCATGGTGGATAGTTTTTTAATGTTTTTCTAGATTTGGCTTGTCAGTATTTGGTTGGGATTTTTTCATAGATGTTCATAAAGGATATTGGCCTAAAGTTTTATTTTTTTATTGTATGTCTGCCACATTTTGGTGTCAGGATGACGCTGGCCTCATAGAATGAGTTAGTAAGGAGTACCTTTTCCACAATATTTTGGAATACTTTCAGTAGGAATGGTATCAGCTCTTCTTTGTACATCTGGTAGAATTCAGCTGTGAATCCATCTGGTCCTGGGCTTTTTTTGGTTGGTAGGCTATTTATTAGTGCCTCAATTTCAGAATTTATGGTTGGTCTACTGAGGGATTCAATTTCTTTCTTGTTCAATCAAGTGAGGTTGTGTGTGTCCAGGAATTTATCCATTTCTTCTCGGTTTTCTAGTTTATGTGCATACAGGTGTTCATAATATTTTCTGTTGGTTGTTTGTATTTCTGTGGTGTCAGTGATAATATCTCCCTTACCATTTTTGATTGTGTTTGTAACATAGCATTAAATGTAATTAAACATTGATGGCAATTGTCAATAAAAATAATTTAAATGTCTTGGACTTTTTGCTACTGGATTATATTTAAGCTTTGGTGACAACATATTTTACAAATATAAGCCTTCAAGTCGAAGACAGTTCCAATAAAATAATTTAAAAATTCACAACAACCTTAGAATATCACTCAAGTAATTAGTATGAAAAATAGCTAGGTGGGATAAAGAAGAAAAATCTGGCTATCATTTATATGCATAAAAACATGAGAAGGTTTAAAACACATTAAGTTAAATTTCACTGCTTTTAGAAGATAGTCCTCCAAACTGAAAACAATATCCGTGAATATTTTTAGCCAAATTTTAATATTTAAATCTTAAATTACAGAATAAACTTATATAATGTATTTATTTATTTGTTTGCTTGTTTGTTGGGGGTAAATCCTTACATTCTATTTTCAAAGACAGGTTTATAAGTGAGTCTTTTGTCTTTCACAACTTTTGCTGACCTTATTCTTTCCGTTTGTGGGCGTTTGAACATTAATATTTCATAATACCAAAGTGTAAAATATTTAAACTGCTTCATTTCACACAACTATTTTTTAAGATGCTTCAGAAAAGCTCTGGTGCTAATGTTTCCTGGAATGCTCATTTCATATATAGAACTGGTGCTTTAAATAGATTTTTGAGAATTCTCTTTGATCATATAAATTACACACATTTCATTATACAATTTTAAGTTAAATGTTTTAGAAATTAAGTTATCCTGAATGCAATCTGTAATATGCTGTAAAATTATCACTACAAATCCTAAAATAGTTCACATATTTATATTTTGTGAAATCTAACTTGTAATCTATAAGAAAGGCCATTCATTTATGTATCACAAAGAATAATAAATGTATCGGTTGTATATGAATCAAGAATATAAAAATTCTACCATTTATAGAGATGTTAAAATGTAAAAAATTCCCCGTCTTAAAATTTTAACTATAAAAATAAAATATTTTATCAATATTTTAATTATGTATGATCTACTTAGCTGAAAAATGTAGTCTTCAATATTTGTTTAGCAACTTTATTTTTTAATTCATGCATTTTATTTTTTGTTTTGCATTTTTGATTAGTATTACATATTACTTCTTATACCTTAAAGCAAGTTCCTATTTTTTTTTCAGCTCTACCATAATAATCACTTTTTTTAACAGGCCTTTTATTGATGGAAATGACAGGTTTATTCTTTAGTTAGAACTGTGTTCATGTATCTGATAAATTTATGCAATGGTAAAGCAAGAGACTTTCTATGAGATTCATGCTATATTTAAAACTGTAAGTGTGACTGGCTTCAAGATAAAGCAGATGCTTTTCTTTTTCAAGATTATTAGTACTTAAAGATATTTTGAATAGAGGCTTTAAGTATGACTCAAATTGGCCCCCTCTAAAAGTAAAGTTCTGATAAGCAGAGTTAACCATATAAAATGTATTTGATTTGGTTATAAGTTGGAGTAGCATCCAGACATGATTTAACCTTTTTGTCAGCAGCATAGTAACTATATCCTTTCTGCATTATGCCCAGAAGGGCAGTTTGTTCTCTAAAATCAGATAAAATAATTATTGATAAATTCTGGGTGTTCCAAATGGAGAGATCTAACAGATATGTATGTGCATCCATAACCTATAAAACACTGTGCTGCTAAAACTAGACTCTCCAACCTTATGGAGCTTACAAGTTTATAAGATGGAGAGGATTTTGAAAGAATGATGAGAGAAGGAAATTGAAATTTTATGGAAAACAAAATTCATTTTGGGAAGTGATAGGCTTTTATCTTCCAGTGGTAGATGGGGTGAAGAGAGAGATTCCAACTGGGTTTTATCTTATAGTAATGATTAGAGGCTTTTGAGCATGAAGTTGAAACAAAAGGAAGTGTTTGGGAAGATAGCAATATTTAAGAAAATCATGAACTATTGTGTGGTTCAGGTCTAAGATAATGAATTTGGAATAAGGATGCAGAGATGAGGGAAAAGAAAACATTTAATGTAATAGGTATTTGAAAAAAGCATTGTAGGATTTTAAGAAAAGTAAATTATATTAAGACATTCTAATATATTATTTGATGAGGTAGTCAATAGATATTTATAGAATTTATCCTGGTTTGCCATTTTCTTCACAATCCACAGCAAAATTCTTATTGAGATACATAAACTTTTCCTTTGAATTATTGGAGTGAAGAACAGTTACAATATATTCTGTATTTTTATATTTCTAAAAGGTATGTCAGTATCTTTTATTTGTAATTTCACTACAATTTTAAAGATATAAATATTATTCTGTGATAAATTTATCCACAAAACAGCTTATGACTTGTGATAAAAATTTAGAGTAAGCATAAGACAAAATTATGTCTGGCCTGGGAGCTAAAAATGCCACTTGTGTTACACAAAGTTGAGAATTTAAGGAAAGCTTGACTCACATAATATCTTTAAACTATGAGTAGTGGTGATGAGGATGTCAGTGGAAAAGACTAGCACATATAAAAATATGCCTGCTTCACTATTATTTCTATTGTCAAATGGGATTTATAAAAATGTTCACTTATGACCAATTGCTTACAAATCACGCCTTCTTGGTAAAATAGCAACTTACATTTTCATTGACCAATGACTAAATCAGAATTAGAACTAAAATCCATTTGCATTTTTCTAATATATTGGGGTGGTTCATCTGATGGCCACAAACAAACCCAAATCTTTCTAGCTCAAAACAAGGGTATACTTCTTGCTCACACTGAATATTCATCTTGACTTTGTTGGTGTTCTGTTTTATGTTAAGCTCACTCATGGAAGCAGACTGAGTCATCATAAACAGCAGCTGTGATTATGGAAGTTGGAAAGAGCAGAAGAATCATGCACTGGTTCCTAAAAACTTCTGTCTAAAAATGACACCTATCAAATCCACATGTAGCTCTTGACTAAAATCAGAGCAAGATCCAGGGCACAGGCATATTCATTCTCCATTAATAGCACACAACACATACTGGTCTTAGAGTACAGACAGCTTGTGTTAGATTTGTTATATAAATGGCCTAAAGATGGCCAATTCATATTAGTCCCTATGTTGTACTTCTTCACAGCAATCGAAGACTGTGAGCACAAAGCCAGCCAGCACCAAACTCAAATCCCTGCTTTAAATATAGTCCCATTTAAAATGTGTTTATCCTGTTAGCACCTGTCTGCTTTTTATAACCTGTGAAACTGCACCCAATCTGCTGGCCATAGATTTGATAAAATCTATAGCTATAAATGATCCCAAACCACTGCTGCCTTTCAGAGCTCTCTGATCCAGAGACTCCTGACCTTGCTGCTGAATGACATGGCCTGTTTCCCTTCCCTAGGGAGTTGTCCTCCCCACTTCCCCTTCAAGATGGTGGCTCCATTCCACTCTCTCTGAATGGTCTCCCAACAAAGCTTGGGTAAGATAATGTTATTTTGTGTGTATTTTCCTTGATCATCCCCAAATAACACTCAAGCTTATCACAAGA